AATTCAATTTTATTATTGTTTCTAAATCCTGTATAGACAATATGCTATCTCCCTACTCTGGGACTGCCAGCTTCCATTGCAGTGCCTTTGGTATGTCACTTACTAGCCTGTTTACTTTCTGGTACTATCAAATCTACAAATACTTTATGATTTCATTTATGTATTGGGCAGTGTGTTAGGCACTCAAAGATTATCTCCTTCAAGTCTTGCCACAATCCTATAGTACAAGTAAGAACTCCTCTTTGTCCTCATTTCATGAATGAAAGCAATCTTGAGGACCATGGGCAACTTGGCACAGGTCATATGAATAAATAATAGAGAAAGGATTCAAACTCAGGTATGATTCAAAAGCAGAGTCATATAATACTGCTTCTGCTAAGTCATGAGGCAGATATGGCTCGAGTGCCTTCCACAAGCTAGCAATAGATCAGTGCAAAAGAAACAGTCGCTGTCAGCAAAGAATTCCAAGTTCACTCAGTTATTCCACTTTTTCCGAAGGTAGCCTTGATCCTATGCCTGTCATCACAGTTGTACTTATTCCAGAAACTTCATTAACATGTCATCACAGTATATACATATTGTTTTGCATAGCCATTCTTTTTTTTTTTTTTTTTTTTTTTTTTTTACTTTCCTCTTCTGAGGCTCTTAGCAATCAGGTATCAGAATTTCCTAATTGATTCTCCAGGTTTTTGTATCTTTTTATTTCCTTTTTCTTATTGGTTCTTTCTGATTTGATTTCATCAACTATGACTGACTTATCACTTAAGAATCTCCTTGTTTATTCTGTTGACAGTCTCTCCAGTCATTTTTTTCCATGTTTATACCATTTGAATATGAGCTTAATTTCCACAGAAGTTGCTCTCCCTTGTGTCTGGATGAGGAGCAACTTTAGTAGGTATTATATTGCATTTGCCTCCTTAATGGGCGTTCTTGCTTCACTAGATGCTATGGCTTAAGTGTCATCTAAGGGTTTGCCAAAGAATTCACAAGGTTTGCCTGAAAGGTGGTGGTATTGCAGGTACCGTGGACATTTAACCAGTGAAGCCCACTGGGAGGTCCTTAGGTCCTTAGTGGAGGTGCTGACCAACCTCTGAGGAGACTATGAGGTTCTAATTTCTGTCTGCTCCAGATTAAGATGTGTCCGTTAACTCAAATACCTGCTTAGGCCATTGTCTTTTGCCACTTGCACAAGAAGTGGTACCCACCCCACTACCCCACTTTGGACTTTGACCTTCTAAACTATGAGTTAAACAAAACTTTACTCTTTATAAAGTTAGTTGTCTTGGGCATTTAATTGTGGCAATGGAAAAATAATGTATCAAGCCAGGTACATTTTTATTATCTTGGTATTTTAAGAAGTCTGAATATGGCCTTTATGCCCAAGTGTGGGGCAGATTTAAGGATTAAATCGCCTTGACTGATCTTCACCCATGATCTTAGGTAGGTGTATAGCACCTCTTTATTGTTTTCCCAGATATTTTCATGGAAGGAGTAGGCCTTTGTGATTACTGCCTTATTTCCAGATGGCTAAGCTTCTGCTTCTTAAAAGCACAGGATAGGTTTGCAATATTTTCCTTCCACACAATTCGAACTTTGAGGCTAGGATGTAAATAGTATGGTACATGCTTAGCAGATGCAAGCTGTGTGGGCTTATTTCCAACACTGAAAAAACCCAAGAACAAAACCAGAAACAAATTCTCAACAGCTAGGGCCAATAAACCAAGAACTTTCAGCTTTTTCTCTTGCCCATTGTTGAACTTTGACTTTATTCTTCGTCATCTAGGGAACTGACTATCTTACTTTCAAGTATTTTTCTTATATTTCACATAGGATCTCTATTTTTTATTGATGGAATGGTTGTGTGACAGCTTAGTATCTAGTAATACATCATCCATCTCACTATCTCCCCTATTCCATCTACTGAATCCATACAGAGCAAATCCTTCAACTTGCCTCCCATTAGTTATGTGTCTTCTCCCCGTATCTCCTTGTTATATTTTTTCTTTCAATGTCCCCCCGGTGCATACTCATGCATTCATAGGCTGGCTTTTGGGAGGTGACTGGATCATGGAGAGATTAGTTCACTGATGAGTTTATCGCTAAATGTGACGTTGGGAGGTGAAGCCTGGTGAAGGAGGTGCTGGGAGCGTGGCCTAAAAGGTGCTCCCTCCCCGCTTTCTTGATCTCTGTCTCTGCTCCCTGACTGCCGTGCTCTGAGCTATGCTCCTCTGATGTGCCCCTGTGCTATGCTGTCCTGCTTGGGAGTCAGCCTCTGCAAATGATGAGCCAAAAAAAAAAAAAAAAAAAAAAAAAAAAAAAAAAAAAAAACTTTTCTCCTTTCAGTTATGGGTGTTGAGCACTGTGTCTCAGCAACAAGAAAGTCACTACTCCTTTCTTTCCGGTTCTTCTTCACTAACACCCAGGAACCATGACAGAGAGGTCTCTTTAATGGGCACCAGGAGAGGGAAAGCTTAAAATATCCACAGATGTGTAAAGAGAAAACTGATGCGGGTTATAACTGATCCAGCAAATGACTTGATAGATTTTAAAGTGCAGAGTTAGAAAGAGGGTTCTTGTAAGACAGTATTTTATCAAGCATTTTTTTATATTATAAAGTTTTGTCAGGGAGGACACACTGGCTGGTATAAAGTTAAAAACAACTTCATTCAGAAGTTTGACTGTAAGTTTCAAGATGGTGGTTTTATTTTTAAGATAGAACCTTACGATGTCAAGTATGGATTCCCTTGAGGACATACTATATAGAGAATTTAAATTTCCCTTTGTCTTGAACATTGATAAACAGTCATATTTTGCTTCCATTTTTCATCCTGTTCCCTAATTCTACTTAGGACAGTATTCTTATCTGCAATACTATTCTACTTAGTAGTCTTATATGCAATACTCTTACACAGACTTCCCTGTACCTATTTCTCCCTCGTTTTCCAGTGCAGTCCACTGGAGATGAGAAATTCCTAGAGTTCTGGTGGTATCCAGCCTCAAAAAGAGGAGGGACACAAGAAAAATTAAGAATAGCACTACACTAAGGAGTACCTGAAATATGAACAAATTAGGAGAGACATAAGATGTTAACAGTGATGATGGTAATAGTCCTTCACATTTATCGAATCATAACATTTACCAGGCAGTTAAATGGTTTGCATAGATGATATGATTTTAATCCAGCACTCTAGTGACTTAATTACTGCTATTATTTTCCATGTATAAACCAGAAAACAGAGGCACTGTGTTAAAATAAGTTTAAGATTACACAACTGGTGTTACGAAAAGTGACATAATAGAAAAAAGACAAGTAGAACACTATAGCTTCTCTGGGAGGTTTAGCAGAAGCCTGATGACAATATATTTATTATGATGCAAGTAATGTAGTCTGTCACAATACCATCTGTCTCTGTGTCTCTTCATTCTCAATTTCAAATTCAAAGAAACTACTTAGGCCTGCCTTTGGTCTATCCCTGATCAATAAGGTTTGCTCAGGGAAGACAGGAATATAATACAGAAATAGCCTCCCGCATATGAGAGGCACCGTCTAGAAATGAGCGTTGGTTGTTAGTAGCCACTCCAAAGGGCATTGACTGTGTGACATAATGATGTAAGAATCTACCACACACATGTGCAAGCAGGATTCTCTGAAGCTGATAGATGTTTGAACAGGAGTTATGTTCCTTAACTAAAATATAGAGTGTGTGTATCTTATTTTGGGTTTCTCTCAGGGGAGGTGGGTTACACACTGACTAAATTAGAAATTGTTTATTATTTTATTTTCCTTGATATAGAACACTCCCTGAAGAAGCTCAGTTTAAAATGAAAGTCTTCTATTTTAACAGTATGCCAGATTAGCTACTCTGAGTGAGTCAGCCACCTGCTGAAAGAAACTGAAAATTCTGGATTAAAAAAGCGAATGTAAAAAAAAAAAAAAAATCAAATATATTTGTGACCTAGTAGGACCTGAAGAAAATCTCAGAGGGGATAGCAAAGGTGTGTGTGAGGGGTGAAAAATCATAAGGGCCAAAGTGGGCTTTTGTTCAGATTATTGTCAAACTTTGGACATTTAGAGCTCCTTTTCTGCTAGTTGTGTAGCATGCCAGAATCAAAAGATAAAGCCAAGAACAAGTTCAGAAGGAACAGTCTGATAGCTGACAAAACCTGGGAGACCCAAAAACTATATTCTCTGTGTAAAGGTGAGTGAGAAATACATCTCATACACACAAAGGTCGGTAAGGAAACAAGCCTACCCTGGAGCTGGAGCCCACTAAAGGACTCCTGAAAAAGTCTCTCCTGAGAAACTACAATAAAACATTTAATTTAGAGGCTCAAATACAATCTATCTGTGCAATACAATAAACCTCAAAGGAAGAATTTAATTTATCCCTAAGGTGAATGGTGTCCCCAAGCAACACACAGAAGCAAATTCACATACTCTTTAGAAAAACTCAATTTTAACTCCAGCCTCATTGAATGCTCAAATTTACAATACTAGAAACATGATTTCAGAGCAGAAAATCACAATCTAGAAGGAAATAGTCACCACGAGTAAAAGTCTGTTTTTAAAGAAATAATATACAAAGATGCATAAAATTTTCAGTATTGTATTTAAGAGAATGCAGACTGTTTAACTTGTGTATGAAATTTTAAAAATGGATTAAGAAGAGAACAGAATTTATAAAAGTAAGCGGTTTTTGTAACGTTTGAGAAGTAACATAAGGTAGATTAAAAAAATACACGGTGATATAAGAAAGCCTTAAAGATATCTTACAGATCTTCTAAAGAATAATTTTCAGCAGTGAAAAACAATGTATATTTGTGGGGAGGAATCAAAAAGCAAAAAGGCATCATCCAGGACTACAGACCTCTAACATAGGCTATTACGCAATATAATCTAAATTTATTACCAGCACATCCCATTTGACGTAAGATTCTCTAATTATGACTGAGCACTTTTTTGGGGGTCGCGAGTGTGGGTGCTCATGTGTTTATTGTAATTACATTACAAAGACGACGAGATGCACCGAAAAACAGAGCATAGCACTACAAGTGTTTACTGTGGACTACTCGTGCCTCTTTTAATCAGGTAAATGCATAGTCACTCGAGCCTCAGGGTATTGTCTTAAAGAGAACCCAGTTAGATGTCCCATGCGTATGTTAGGAGTAAAAGCTGAGAATTCCAGCAGAGCTCTGTTTTGAACATTTCGAACGGCCCGAACTTTGCTGATTATTCTAGCGTTTAGAATCTTTATTATTTGCCTAGTACTCCTTGAAACCCACAATTCACAAACGCGGGGACATGGAATCACAGCGAAGAACAGGGGAAAAGTTGTCCCTACTTGTATCTCGCAGGCGCATACAACTCCCGTCCTTCCCTGTGCAAAGAATCAACAAATAAACAGAGGCACCGCATTTCAGACACTTTCACGCAGGTGCCGCAATGGCAACTGGTATTTGTAGTCTCTCGGCTGAGAGCAGCCGGCGCGGTTACCAGAGCAGCTGAGGAACAAAACTACACTTCCCATTACGGCGCGAGGACTGGCACCGGCCCTGTGACGTCACCGCCCTGCCAGCCAATGGCAACTTCGGGCGGCGGTGAGGCAAGCGCCGTCAGGCGCCAAAGTGGTTTTTTTTTTTTTTTTTTTTTTTTTTCCCGGAGTCGAGCGGGTGCTGCTAGCGGAGGCGCCATATTGGAAGGGACAAAACTCCGGCGACAGCGAGTGACACAAATAAACCCCTGGACCCCTTCGTTCCCCCAGCTCTGAGGGCCGCGATGTTGTACCTAGAGGACTATTTGGAAAGTGAGTGCGTGGCACTGGCGGCGGCCGCCTGTGGGACCTGCGGGCGGGCGAGAGCGCGAGTGGACGGGCAGGCAGGATGGCGGGAGGGAGGGGGAGGCGGGGGATGTTTCTTTCTCACGGTAACTGGCAGCCTCGTTGTGAGCTGCCGGCTCGCCCCCCCACCCACGCACGCACGCACGCACGCAAATGACGTAAGCCCGCATTTTCGCCGTTTGGCCCCGCCCCGCTGACGGACTCTCTTTGACAGTGATTGAGCAACTTCCAATGGACCTGCGGGACCGCTTTACGGAGATGCGCGAGATGGACCTGCAGGTGCAGAGTAAGTTCGCGCGTTTACTACAGTTCTCCGCGTGCGCTCAGGGAGCCCCGGGCTGGCTCCTCACGGTGCTCGTGCCTATCTCCTCTGCCTGCTCTGGGTCATCTAAAGAGTTGTCACAAACATCTGGCAGTGCTGTATCTTTTCCTCTCACACTACTTTTGTTGAGGCTTTTACAAGAGCAGGAGGCATTAGTGTATGTATATTCCTTTCTCAAATTTGGCACTGCAAAAAATGTTTCAATACCTTCATTGAGAGTGTAGATACTGTGTGTGTTTTAATGGAAATTAACATAAATGTTGAGATTTTCTCTTTAGCTTTCTGTATCCAACTTAGATTTCAGCATTCATACTTTTTGTTAAATTGGATTCTGTTTGGGATTCCTTTAAGAGTAGAAAACATAAGACAGAGTTTTATGTGAATATTTAGAGACCCTGGCATAGTGAATCTTGAAAATTACGCATTATAGCATTTACTTTGAGTTGTCAGCTGTATGATCATTTTCTCAGAATGAGGAAAGGAAAAAAGATGTTATGGAAAGCTGTGTGTTGTTATCAAAATTTTGACAGTTGGTCTTCTTTTTTTCTTTCTGTGATAGCTTAGTGGTTGGGTGACTTTTCCCAGAATTAGCCTTGCTCTTTTATAGAGCAAGGAGTGGAAGTAGATAGCCCAGGAACCACTTCTCATAGCTCGGAACTTGTCCATTTTCATTCCTTCCATCACACACTCACATCTGTATCTTTTGTTCAGGAGTATACTTTTCTCAGCTTCATGTCAAGTTCTTGGGAAATCTAGTTGTCCAGCCTGTTGTAGTGTGCAAGACTGAATTCTATATGGATTGCGAAAAACATGGTGAATGTTTAAATTTAAAAATTTACTATAGTAAAAGACACATTGTCATTAATCTTCCTCAAAATATCCCCTCCTTATCTTGAACATGCTTATCTCATCATTCTTGCTGCTTTTTGAAGCAGTTATGGAAGTCCTCTTTCATGAGTGTGTTTAGTTGCAGTATTGTAGTTGCATTGATGTCCTGAAGTGATTCAAAATGTTTATTTTTCATGGTCATTTTGGATTAAGGGAAGAGCTAGAAGTCACACAGTGCCAGATCCGGTGGATGAGGCACACTGAAATCTTTTTACAAGTCTGCCTTTGTATTGGGTGGTACGCAGTAATAGCATTCACCTTGTTTTTGATCACACCTCAAAGATATTCATAAAAGAGGGCTTTCAGAAGTGTCTCAGAAGGTGTCAAGAATGATAAGTGTGGGCCGGGGATTTAGCTCAGTGGTTCGGTGGCCTGCCTTGCAAGCGCAAGGACCCGAGTTCAATCCCCAGTACCAAAAAAAAAAAAAGAATAATAAGTGTGCTCAAGTGAGAAGGTAGATATTAAAGGGGGTTAATTGTAATAAGTATTTTACCGTAATAATTTTTAATTTAATTTAAGTATTTATTATATATTTTGATCATTATCTCATATGTGGTTTTCTGTCTACCTCACAATCCGTGTTAATAGAGTTGAAATGTGAAAAAGTTTGTTGAGGTAGTATTCTCTGTAGAATTGAGCATAGACTTTGTTTTCAGACAGACTTGAATTTATTTTAGGACATTACTACTTCACTCATTGACCTGACTGCATTACCATTACTGTGGAGTTTTCATTGTAAGAAAAGAATCATTTGAGAATTTAAAATATTATAGCTGAATTAAAATGCATAATATCTGAGGCAAGGTAGGTATTACATAAAGAATTATCATTTTAAACTTTTATCATGAGAGCCGGGGATTTAGCTCAGTGCCTCCTAAGCATAAGGAACTAAGTTCAATCCCCAGTACCAAAAAATTTAAATTTGGATTTAGATTATACAGATTGCAGGATATTTTTAAGCTTCAATTTTTTCCAATGACTAAAATTTTCTAAAGTTAAGTGGTATTATGGGTTAACCAAATAGACAGATGTGTCTGTTAGGAAATGCTTAAACAAAGGAAAATATTTTTTAAAAATCAGCTATAGGATATCTTAGAGTCTTTATAAAACTCTCTTGTTTGCATTGAAGATCTTTAAAAAATGAATATAGTAAAGAGGTTTTTTCAACTTACATAACAGCAAAGTCCATTTTATTTATTTTTTTAGCTGATGTCCAATGAGATAATTATTTTTGGTATATCCTTTTGAAAAATCTTTTATAGAATTAAATAGTGCATAAAGTGGATAAAGGGTTGTACCAACTACTTTCAGTTGTGATGTAAGATAATGGAGTGCTTATTACTATAGCAAATGATTAAAATCTTTTTTAATTGCTTTTTCTTATTAAAAGAAATATGAGATTATCTAATGGTATTTTCAACAAACAATTGTGTTTTGTCACATTCAGCTGACTTAATACCATTATCATTGACCCCAAAGCTGTACTATTCCAATACTGTGGTACAATACTATATGTTGTTTACTGTACTATTAGAAAAGATTTTGAAGTAACAACAACAAAAAAAGCTAGGATAAGGCATTTTGTTGTAAATAGCCAATGAAACAGTATAACATATGTTGTCAGATTTTTTTTCTCAAATTGAAGCATGTATACTTTAAGAATTCAGTTATCTAAATATGAAATGTTTTATTATGTCAGATGCAATGGATCAGCTAGAACAAAGAGTCAGTGAATTCTTTATGAATGCAAAGAAAAATAAACCTGAGTGGAGAGAAGAACAGATGGCATCCATCAAAAAAGTATGTGTAACACTTTAGATGATTTATCAATAAATATTAGGACCCTCTGAAAAAGATACTTTAAAGTTAAATTGACTTATGTCATCAAAGTTAAATATGATTTATGGTATCAAAATAAGCAGAAGCTATCAGTGGCTATATAAAACTTATGTAATGTATTGTTTGTTACCTTCAAACAGATTTTTAAACATTGAAGGATACTGGTAATTTTAAAATTGCTTAAATAATGAATAATGATTAGAGAGTTATGGGACTGTTAACTTCCCTCCGATTTTTAATTTATTTTTGATAATTGCACATAGTTAAGTTGTTTTATCTTTAGAGATATAATACTATTTTCCAATTTGAGCTGCAAACTGGGATGACAATCAGAAGATCTTGAGCATATTTTTTGTATTTCTAGGTACATAAATTAGTGGGCACACAGAAGAGCAGAATCTTAAAATTTGGAAATACTTTAAAAGTCTTTCAGTTTAAAATTCTAAATTTGTGCATGAATTGGGTCTACAGATGCAGAATTCTTTGAATTCATATTAGTTTTACAGAATTGGAGGTCTCTTCTAGATTATAAAAAGCAGTAGATCCCAACTCAAGGTTGGCTTTAATGGTGTGATTTAGTCTATACATGAAGAACAGTTTTAAAGACTTGAGTTTGATCATATTTTTGCTGTTTAGCTATCTTGACAATGGATAGGTTTTTTAATATCACTCAAAAATAATGCCTTCCTACACCCAATCTTCATATAATTGTTCAAGGATTAACTAAGAAAGAAATTTGGAAACTACAAACTTAGTAGTTGTGTCATTTATTCTACCACATGGAAGGAAGATTATTTCTGTTAGGAGAAAAAAAATCCATCTATTAAGGGGAAATAGCCCTGCCTTGAAAGATGTGTATCAATATAGATGTCACATACATACATCCCAAAGGCATTGATAATTTCTGTAACTATTAAGTGTTTTATGTTGTATAACTCTAGTATAAACCCCAAAGTCTGGTACTCTTTGGAAGTCATAGAATCTTTATTTCTTTTTTAAAAATATTAATTTGTACGCCAGGGAATTTAGCTAAGTGGTGCTGCCACCTGCCTCACAAGTGCAAGGTGCCGAGTTCAATCCCCAGGAACAACAACAAAACAACACAAATATTAATTTGCTTTACATTGGTGAGAAATCTAAAGTATACATTAAATTGTATGAATTTATACCTAATTTGAAATAGAAGTTATAGAACAATTGGATAATGAGGACAAGTAGATTAGACTCCTTTCTATAGCTATGGTTTTATAACTTTTTCTTTTAGCCAGGCATGGTGATGCACACCTGTAATCCCAGCACTCAGGAGGCTGAGGCAGGAGACTTGCCATTAGTTCAAGCCAGCCTGGGCTGCACAGTGAATTCGAGGCCATCCTGATTGACATAGCTAGACTCTGTCTCAAAAAAAATATTTTTTCAATAGAACATAAATGTGCTTTACAAGTTAGATGAATTTTAACATTTTTTTCTTTTAAATACTATTCATTAGCTCACATAACTTTTTCTACTAAGATTAGACTTGTAATATAAATCTATATAATCTTTCCTGAGAATGCAAAATGCATTGCTTTAAGTTTTGGTCATTGTCTCTCATTTTTGATTCTCCCCCAACCATACCGTATTCCTAAGAAGCATTTTATTGTTAATACAGGGTGACTGACAGTGATAACAAGGTATGATAATGAAAATGCAGTTCCATGTCTTTATATGCATATTTAAAATTATTAATTTATTCCTGAAATGACAATGTTTTTTATTCAGGACTACTATAAAGCTTTGGAAGATGCAGATGAGAAAGTACAGTTGGCAAACCAGATATATGACTTGGTAAGTAAAATTCATGTGTATACACTGAGCTGTATTAGAACTTGAGTTGTGAGTTATGTTTTAAGTTCATTGGCTTACATGTAATAGGAAGAATAGACTAAAACTAAAGTATTATTTTGTTGATCATATTTAATTTGAGAGTTCAGTATGTTTTTTTTTTTTTTCTCTTTGAGGAAGAGTCATAAAAAGTCCACAGTATTGAATTACATGGTCTGCAACCTTATATTTTAGCCAAGACTACACTGCTCTAAGATTGTGTCATTCATATATACATTTTTTTCAAGAGTTGATTTTAATTTTATTTTACTGACCCTAAACTTTTAAAGTAGTATGTTTACTTGCTTATTACATCATTTTGAGTTTGTTTCTGTGATAAAATACTGTAAGAGTACTGTGTTGAGAAGAGCTCGTGGTAGTCTGATTAAAAGGAGGAAGAGAATCATTGGAATGAGTGTTTACCGAAGGGATGTCACTAAATAGTTTTCAGCTGTCAGGTGGCAAAAATATTTGGGAAGCATTAGATTGCATAGTTTTTTTTGTTTTGTTTTGTTTTTTAAACGCTTCCTTCTTGCAGCAGTACTTATAAAAGATTGAAATCACCAAGAAGACATATCTAATATATATTTCTTAAGTTGATCTCATTACGGTATTTTTTTAATGTGAAGCATCTTCTTTTAGAATATATGATTTAGGAGATACTAATTTTTCTGTTTTTGCCTCTAAGTTATAGCAGAAAACAAAATGCTTACTTTTGTTTGACTTCACCTTGCTGATTTCATCTCTTATTTTTGCAGTCTTTTGGGAATAGTTTTGCTACTCAACGAGGGCATGTAAATTAAATATCAGTGAGCAAGACACAACATAAAATGGGTACACACCTCATATGGTGTGTATTATAAATGCTGATGCTAAACTCAAAGCGTGTGTCATGAAACCATAGAGAATATAAAATAACAGTATTTATAGTTTACTAGAGTATCTGTGCATGAGTATATATCCACATGTATGTGTGTGTGTCATACATATGTATAAAAGCATTCTCTTCTTCATTAAAAACCTAATCCATCTCATGTTCCTTACTGGAGCTTTCTGCTTTCCCAAAGCCACTCTTTTCACCCTGCCAAGTTGAAGCTGTTTTCTCTCACTTTCCTATTTGTTATTCTATTATCCCTGCCTTTTGTCTTTTTTTTTCCTTCTCTCCACTCTTCCCTCTTTTTTAAATTTTTTCTCACCTTTTTAAAAACTATTGCTTTTTCAGGTGACTTCTAATTGTAAAAATCTTTCTCTTTGGGATCTCACTTATACGTGGAGTGTAAACTCATAGAAGTTGAGAATAGAATAGTGGCTGCTAGAGTCTGAAGAAAATAAGGAGGAGAGGGGATAGAGAAAGGTTGAGTTAATACTAAGCTATGGTTAGATAGGAGAAGGAAGTTCTAGTGTCCTATTATAGAAGAGAGCAATAGGATGACAATAGCTAATAGTAATATATATACATATATATATGTATATATATTAAGAGAGAAGAAAGGATTTTTGAATGTTTTTAACGTGAGAGAATGGTCAGTATTTGAGGAAATAGATGTATTTACCTTGATTTGAATATTGCACAATGTTTATATGTATTGAAATATCACATGGTAACCTGTGATCATATGTAAATTTTAATCTATCAATTTAAATCTCTCCTTTGAGACTTTGTCATCTTCACTGTCCCTCACCCTCATCATTACTATTATTTTTGCCTTTTATTGTTAATTAATATGTGTTGAGAGTTTTTGGTGAGAAATTCCACAAAGCCTTGTGTCTTTATGTAGACTTACTCTCTTACCTCTTTTCTCAAAGGATGAGGAGCTCTTCCTTCTGATTATTACTCCACTTTTATTCTTGTTCAACCTCTTTGACATTTTCTCACCTTGACTTTCATCCTAAATCCGTGGCAGTTGGGATTCTATATAACAGTTCTCTGAAACTACATTCTTAACGTCTTCATTGTTAAGTACACTGAGTACTCTTCAGTTCTCTTAAATGGACCCTTAAGAAATTAACACTTTATCATTCTTCTTTCTTTCCTTATAGTCTTGCTCATATATTATCATCTCACTGCTCTAACATGATTTTCGATGCCTTTGTGGCCTTTGTCACTGTCCTTGGTTGTAAATCACAGTGGTAATGTTCCTCATGTTCTATCCTTGACCTATGATGTTTCTTATTCTTCAGGTGTTGTTCATGTAAAGGAAATTTTCTTCCCTGCTTTTATTCCTAGTCCAGAGGGCCAGGAAGATCAGTTGTCACAAAGCAAAGAATTGTTCTGTAGATGCCAGTTTTGTCCCCTATCCCAATGTACCACCAAAGTTTAGAAATACTTGTCTGTTACCTTTCCATATATTTTCTTAGATTTAACAAATTATACATTAATTATTCCTCAAATCTAGATTTTTCTTGATCGAGTCTTCTCATCTTATCCGAGAATTCTTAAACCCTAAAACTCAGTTTATTAAAACTTAAGACTTTTAGAATCTTTTTTTTCTTACCTACCCATTCATTTCTTTTTTTCTACATCTTAGAAGAAACACAGGGCATATAATCATTCAAGTTAAGTTACTGAAAGTCATCTGAGATTCCTCGTCCCTATCTTGCCCTGCATCTGATTACCATGTCTTGTTCATTTTATTATGTAGGTACTTATAATATCCTTTCATCTGCTGGGACAAAATACCTGATACCCACAAGTTATAGGAGGAAAGGTTTATTTTAGTTCACAGTTTGTAGAAGTTTCAGTCCATAGTTAGCTAGCCCCAAGGCAGGGCAGCATGGCAGAGGAGAAACAGTCCGTGGCAGGGCAGGGGAAAAAAAAAAAGCAATAGTAGCAGTGAGCTTCCTTTTCTCTTTTTATCCCATTTAAGCTACAAGTGGACTAAACCAGTTATCATACACGCACGATGCACTATCATACACCTCTCATCCAGTCATTTCCAAATCCCCACCTGGGAGTGCATAAGGCTTTGGGGGGGACTTGTAGATATAAGCCAATAAAGTGCCTTTTCAGGTGCTTTTTAAAAAAATTGAAGTATAATTAGAAACAATAAAATGTATGCAACCATGTATACAGTTCTTATTGATGAATGTGTGTATCTTTGTAACCAGTACCTCATGCAATATATAGATCATAGTTATTCACTCTAGAGACTTCCCTCATGTCATTTAAAGTGCATACACCCCTGGTGTCTTTCTTTCTCACCTGAATGGCTGTACTAACTTTTCTAAATAGTGTTTCTGCTTTGACTTAGCACTCTTGATTTATGTTACTTGTAAAATACGTATTTCATTCTACTGTCTTATTTTAATTTCTTTGGTATTTTTCTTCTGATTTGTTTTTCCATGTCCTGTATTGTTTTTTGTTTTTGTTTTATTTTTTATTATTTATTTATTTATTTATTTATTTTTGTACTGGGGATCGAACTTGGGTCCTTGCTCTTTTGAGGCAGGCAGCTGAACCACTGAGCCAAATCCCCAGGCCTGTATTGTCCTTTTTGATCTAATTCTTGTCAGATCTCTAGGTGAATGTCTTTTTCATCCTGTCCCTTGCTACCATCTGCATGTGCTGTCTATAGTGAACATACTGCAAATGACTCACTCTTTCTAAATGGAATAACTCTTCCTCATGCTTGCTAGATAAACATTTTTCCATCCTTCAGTAACCTGCACACGCATCACCTCTTTATCAGTGTAATCCTAACCATCTTGACATTTTATCATTTATATCTAGAAGAGATTTGACTATTTGTAACAGAAAAAGCTTGTAAGAGTGTTTTAAACAAAGGATTTGTTTTCCTCTCACATAAAGTGACTGGTGGAGGAGGCAGACCAGGGCCTGTATAGAATCACCAACATCATCAGTACGCTAGACTGCTTCTGATGTGTTCTGGGCAGGTAGATGAATCGGTGTAGGAAATTAGGCAAAAGGACACATTTTGTAGTTTAGTTCCTTTGAAGAGTTTTCCTAGAATCCTTATACTGACTTCTGCTCCCATCCTAGTGGCTCCCTCTACCTGCTAGAGAAGCTGATAAATATTTAACAGGGCAAATTACCACCCCAAATATGGGGTTACACAGAGCTTCTATCAGTGAGAAAGGAGAGAATAGGTACTATGTAATTAACAGTTTGAACATCACCCTGTTCCTCTGAGTAATCATGCCAATCTCTAAATCCCCATTATTCATATTTGATTACTATGATCAGATCACGTAGTTATTTATCTTTGTTTATACATTCATCTTCCTTATTATAAATGTTAAGAACTATGTCTTTTTAGTGTTTTCATAACCTACAATAGTTATTCCACAGCAACTATTTATTGAAAAAAATCACCTGAATATGTTAATGGTGAAGGAAAAGCATCAATATGACTTTGAAGTTTAATGATGTCATCCTTGACGAAGGATGTATCTTAGGTAGGAGACAATTTCTGAAAAGGTAATAGAATGTGCTGAGATTGATTCCATTTCGATAGACAAACAAGGATAGGCTGCAGTTAAATAAGTACTTCTTTTGAGCGTATGAATTGAAGGAAAGTAACAGCAATGTAATTAATGTGAATTTAGTTTTTGTTATAGAATCACTTTAGGAGGACCCTCTTAAGATCTGGTCACTGCTCAGACTTTTTGGTCTACTTTCTTTTGCTCTCATAATTTAGTTAGTTTGTTCAATTTTGGATAGATTTCCTTTTTTTTATAAGTAAGATGATTAAGTTCTTCTAAAGCAGTACTTGTAGGTGTTCATTAGTCAAAAGAGCATTATAAAGAAAATTTATAGTAATTTGTGTGTTTTGGATATTTCAACTAAAAATACCTCTTCCTGTAAGTTCATTTGCTTTTAAACAACTCTGTTTAATTATGACAAAACAGGTTTATTCGATTTCACAGTGCACATTACTATGCACTGGGCAGTTTTGGGCATCTGGTTGAGTTTATTAATCGTAAAGTTGTAATATTTTCATGAA